GTGGAAGGTTTTAATTTCATCTTCCATCCTGAAGCTTAATTTCGCTGGAAACACAATTCTTGGTTGGAACCCATTTTCATTCAGTGTTTGAAATATGTTATTCCAGGATCTTCTAGCTTTCAGAGTCTGTGTTGAAAGATCAGGTGTTATCCTTATTGGCTTACCCCCAAATGTGATCTGCTTCCTTTCTCTTGTAGCTTTTAAAATTCTCTCCTTATTCTGTATGTTGGGCATCTTCATTATAATGTGTCTAGGTGTGGGTCTCTTATGATTTTGCACATTCGGCATCCTGTAGGCTTCAAGGATTTGGGATTCTGTCTCATTCTTCAAGTCTGGGAAGTTTTCTCGTATTATTTCATTGAATAGATTGCTCATTCCTTTGGTTTGAAACTCTGTCCCTTCCTGTATCCCAATGACTCTTAAATTTGGTCTCTTGATGTTATCCCATATTTCTTGGATGTTCTGCTCATGGTTTCTTAACAGTCTTGCTGAGCTGTCTATGTTCTTTTCAAGTTGAAATACTTTATCTTCATTGTCTGATGTTCTATCTTCTAAGTGTTCTACTCTGCTGGTAGTATTCTCCATTGAGTTTTTAAGTTGGTTTATTGCTTCCTGCATTTCTAGGATTTCTGTTTGTTTGTTTTTTATAACCTCTATCTCCCTGTATAGTTGATCTTTTGCTTCTTGGATTTGTTTATGTAATTCATTGTTGAAGTGATCTTTCATTGTCTGATTTTGCTGTCTGATGTCTTCCTTGAGACTCCAGATCATCTGAAGCATGTATATCCTGAATTCTTTATCTGACATTCCATCTGCTGCAGCTATTACCTCTTCTAACGTTGAGTTGACCTGCATTGCTTGTGGTCCTTTCTTTCCTTGTCTCTTCGTACTGTTCGCGTTACTTTCTACTTGGTGAAACTGTTGTGCTATTGAATTTTACCCCTATATATTTATATTGGTCTTGTATAGTTGCAAAGTCTCCCTCACAGGCGCGGGCGGCGGCTCTGCCCCTCCTCCAATTGGGGCAATGTGCCTACCACGCCGGCAGGCCACTGGGCCTGCTCTGTCGGTCCGTAGCAGGTCCGCCTACCTTGCAGGCGCGGGCGGTGGCTCTGTCCCTCTGCAGGCCGCTAGGCTTGTTCTGTCGGTGGTCGCAGTTCTGCCTACTTTGCAGGCCCAGGCAGCGGCACTGCCCCTCTGCAGGCCTCTGGGGCTGTTCTGCCAGTGGGTCGCAGGTCCGCCTACCTTGCAGGCGCAGGGGGCGGGGAGGCTCTACCCTTCCTCAGGCCGCTGGGCCTGTTCTGTCTGTCGGTTGCAGGTCTGGCCTGTTCTGATGGTGGTCACAGTTCCGTCTATCTTGCAGGCGCGGGGGGAGGGGGCGGCTCTGCCTCTCAGCAGGCCGCTGCTCCTCTTCTGCTGGTGGGTTGCAGGCCCGCCTACCTTGCAGGAGTGATTGGAAGCTCTGCCCCTCCGCGGGCCACTGGGCCCTTTCTGTCGTTGGTCACAGTTCCGCCTACCTGGCAGGCGCCTGGTGTGGGGGGCGGCTCTGCCCCTCAGCAGGCCGCTGGGCCTGTTCTGTGGGTGGTCACAGTTCCGTCTAACTTGCCGGCACAGGGGGAGGGGTCGACACTGCCTCTCAGCAGGCCGCTGCTCCTCTTCTGCCGGTGGGTCGCAGTCCCGCCTACCTTGCAGGAGTGATTGGAAGCTCTGTCCCGCCGCGGGCCACTGGGCCTTTTCTGTCGGTGGTCACAGTTCCGCCTACCTGGCAGGCGCGGGGGGTGGGGGGCGGCTCTGCCCCTCAGCAGGCCGCTCGGCCTGCTCTGTGTGTGGTCACAGTTCCCTCTACCTTGCCGGCGCAGGGGGAGGGGGCGGCTCTGCCTCTCAGTAGGCCGCTGCTCCTCTTCTGCCCGTGGGTCGCAGGCCCGCCTACCTTGCAGGAGTGATTGGAAGCTCTGTCCCGCCGCTGGCCACTGGGCCTTTTCTGTCGGTGGTCAGAGTTCTGCCTACCCAGCAGGCGCGGGGGGGGGGGTGGCTCTGCCCCTCAGCAGGCCGCTGGGCCTGCTCTGTGGGTGGTCACAGTTCCCTCTACCTTGCTGGCGCAGGGGGAGGGGGCGGCTCTGCCTCTCAGCAGGCCGTTGCTCCTCTTCTGCCGGTGGGTCGCAGGCCCGCCTACTTTGCAGGAGTGATTGGAAGCTCTGTCCCGCCGCGGGCCACTGGGCCTTTTCTGTCGGTGGTCACAGTTCCGCCTACCTGGCAGGCGCGGGGGGTGGTGGGCCAAAACCTTCACTCTTTCTATTTCACGTTTTCCATTGCTTCTTTTGATATTAATCGAAATATTATCGTTATTTTAATATGTAAGACCTAATTTATGCCTTTAAAATAGCATGAAAGATGAAGAACAAAAGATGTACTATACACAAAGGTCAAAATAATAATACCATTTTTGTGAGATTCAGATTCCTTTATGTTTAGGCTGACAGGTATTAATTTCCTGAAGATATCATTCAGCATCTTTGGGGGAGGTATTTTGTGTTGTCTATTTAGCTGTTTCTTTTCCTGTGGTGATGCTAGTTGGTTTTTATTTAAAAAAAACTCATAAATACATGTATGACTCCTGCTGGAGAGAACAGTTTGTTTATCTTTCCAGCCCTCTTTTTAAAGCATATAAACATACATTAAATCTGTTTTATAAAAACAGAATCATTGCATACAATTTACAAAGAACTTGCTGTTTTCTCTTAAGTATACATCTTTGTGCATCTATTCATCTCAGGAAATACAGATTATTAAATAATCCTTTTTGGATGAGTATATTTTCCTTTACATGAAGAACTCTTTTACATTTTTTCTTTTTTTTTGAATCTAATAGTTACTATTTTCGAGTGAATTAACTGATAAAGTGGATCTTTTAAAAGTATCATTAATTTTCAGCTTTTCTGGGGTAAGGAATTTCTTTCAGATAATGTTTTTATTCTCAGATGAAGAAAATGAAAACATTTGGCTGTAAAGAATGCCACCCAAGGGGCTGGGGTTGGGGCTAGGGCTGGGGCTCAGGCTCAGGCTCAGCCATAGAGTGCTCGCCTTGCATGTGCAAGACCCTGAGTTTGATCTTCAGCACCACATAAAAATAAATAAGTGAAGTAAAGGTATTGTGTCCAACTACAACTAAAAAATAAATATTTAAAAAAAGAATGCCATCCAAGATCCAATATGTAATCTTTCCAGTGTTCTCATTGATAGTGATGCCAGAGATATTTTGTGATTGGGCATGGTTTTCCTCTGCAGTGTTAATTTTACCCTCACAAGGGCTAACAGAGAATGGGAATTGTTGTAAGAATCCTTGTGCCTAAAGAGAAACTGAATTTTATGAAAATCTAGTACAGACATTGGTGTGGCACTGTTACTTCAAGAAAATTCTCAGGAATTGTGCATAAGGCAGCTTTAGGGATTGCCTAAATCAAATCTTGTAAAAATGTAGTTCAGTTGTTTTTCATTTATCTGCTTTTTCTCTTTTTAAACTTCCCATTGGTTTCATTATCTATTTTGCTGCCTTCCTATTTTACCTTATTTCTAATTTATTATTTACTTACTGTCTCTTATTACTGTCTCATATCTTTTCTCTGTCTTTTTAACTCCCTCTACCCACAACTTCCTTCTACATTTTAGGAAATATTTTTCAGTTTCTGATTCTTGTTTCTGAAAGTTTTTCCATGTTTCTACCTAGAATCAGATTCTCCCATAATTTTTAAAACTGAGATTCTATCCCATTTTATCCCTGTTTGATGAGAGCTTTTTGTGCTATACCCTTCCAAAGGTAGTAGCATATGGGATGGCTTCCTGTACTATGTATGCCCATCCCTGGCCCAATGTGAACCAGGAACAAAAGACAGAACCTATTCCCTTAGCAAGAACTGGGGAGGCCAGACTCTCTTAAAGTAATGCATGTGTCATGCATCATCATTTCCATATTTATCTAATGTAGCCATTAACATAAAAGCATTACTAATTGAGAAAGCATGGGTAATATAAAACAAATAATTGCATACATGTTATATTTTTATAACAAATTTCATGTTATAGAAGTAGTATTTAATTATAGGAACATTTTGAAAATATGAAGAAAATAAAACATTGCCAGTCCCCAGCAGCCACAATTTCTGTACATTATTCTTTAAGTTCTCGATGTATAGTAAGAATCAAAAGTGCTGTCAAAGTTCAGAAAAACAATACAAAACTATGAGTAGGTGAGAAGTGGGTGATAAACATGGGGAACAAAGAAGTTAAGGTAGGCTATGAAGTATACTTAGGATTTCATCTATTAGATGGCAAGGTGTTCTGTAGGGATGCAATGGAAAAAGATGTACAAAAGAGGTCTGGCCTATAGATAAAACTTTAATAGACTTTCCCTATTGGGTTTTCAAAGATGTATGCCTATTTTAGGTATGATATAGAGAAATAGTCACTTTCCCCTGTTGATAGGAATGTATATTGGCAAAGTCAACTTGGTAGGGCAGTTTCACGTGATATATTAAAATTTAGAGCATTCTTACCCTTTCATCTAGCAATTTCATTTGTAGAAGTTAAATACACAGATAGTCATATAAGTATGCAAAAAATGTACAGAGATTTTGCATAAATTGTTATTATCCTTTCCTTGAAAGTTTAGTAAAACTTACTAGTGAGGTCATCAAGATCTAGAGTTTTTCTGTGGAAGAGTGTTGAGGATTTATTTAGTTTCTTTAATTTTATGGGGCTAGCTAAGATATGGGTTTTTTCCCAATGAATTTATGTAGGAGTTTTAGTTTTCATCAGGAAGGTTAATCCAGATACCTGGCCTGTCATATATCACTTATATTATAACAGAATTAAGTTAAAATCCACAGACTTAAGTTCAAATTCATGTCTTAACAAATGACTTTCTGGTTTTTAACCTTGAATGATCAAGGCTTAAGTGAAACAAGTTCTCATTTCTTACTAACATTGTATATTTTGTTTTCCAGCTACAACTTCAACAACTACCACCACCACTGTTACCACCAATACTACTACCACAATTACAAGTGGCTTTAACCTGAATCTAAGACCACTGACATCCCCTGGGATTAATAACACTGATCCAGTCAGTGTTTCTTCTGTACCTCTTACTTCAACTGTTAAGTAAGCTTATTTATTTGAAAATTCCTTTTGTGTTTCATTTTATCATGTACAAGGCATAGTTTGCTTGTATAGCCTTAGAAAATACTAGAAAGTTAGATATATGAGTTTTTGAAACACAGAACAATTTCTGTAATTTAGGAAGCTGAATAACCAAGGGCCTTCTGAATACCATTATAATGCAATTATTAATATTACTAATAATAGCAACTTTTATTGTGCAGTTACTCTGTTTAGTAAGATAACAGTGCTTTAAAAATATCATATGATTTAATCCTCACAATAACCTATGAGATAGACACTATTTTTGTTCCCATTTTATAGATGAGAAAACTGGAGCACATAAAAATTTTATAATCTGCTTATAGTCAGGTACTAGGTAACAGTTGAGCCAGGATTAAAATTGAGACAAACTCTAGAGTCTATATTCCTACATACTTTACAAAATATCCTGTATCTCCTTATTTTTCCCCCAACAATAACATCTTGTAAATACTATAGTATAAGTGTCATAACCAGGATATTGATATGGATGTAGTCAGGATATGAAATGGGTCCTTCACTACAAGGATTCCTCCTGTCACCCTTTTATAGCCACATTCACTACCCCTCTCCTTTCCCTTACCCTGGGCAACAATTAATGTGATCTTCATTGCTGTTATCAGGATATTTCAACAATGTTACACATTGTTGATTGGCTCTTTTCATTCAGCGTAAATCCTTGACACCCCCGCCAAGTTTTCATGTGCATCAATCAATCATTTGTTCTTTTTTATTTCTGAGTGGTACTCTATGGCATTGTTGTATATCATTATTTAAACATTCTTTCACCTGTTGATGGATATCTAGGTTGTTTCAGTAATTTTGGCTACTATGAGCATAGCTGGTAAAAACATTCATGTACAGGTCTTTTTGTGAACATATAACTCATGTCTCTAAGATGAATGCCTAGGAATGCTGATTCTGGGTGGTTTGAAAGTTTTTATGTTAATTTTTTAACTAGCAATCTCTTTTTCAGAGTGGCTGTGTTATTCTACATACTTAACAGCAATGATTGAGTGATAGATTTTACATATTCTTGTCAGGGTTTGTTGTCACTATTTTTTATTTCAGCCCTTCTGATAAATGTGATGTGATACCTTATTGTAGTTTGAATTAATATTTCCCTGATCACTAAAGATGTAGATCATTTCTTTAAGTATATGTTTTCTATTGTTATGTCCTCTTTGGTGAAGTGTCTATTCATATCTTTGTACATTTTCTACTTTTGTTATTGGGTTTTTTATTGTTCAGTTTTGAGAAGTTGTTATGTAGTCTAGATACCAGTCCTTTGGCAGATATGTGCTTTTAGTTTCAATTATAAGAAAACACTTTGTCTAGCTCTAGTTCTCAAAGTTTCTCCTCATTTATTTTTAAAAATTAATCTCACATCTTTTCCCATTCTTCTACTTTCAACCTGTCTGTCCTTATCTTTGAGGTGAGCTTCTTGTGGATAAATGTTGTTGGATTTTTTTTTTGTTGTTTGTATTATACTGGACATCTAACACAAGGGTGCTTTACCACTGAACCACATCCCCAGCCCTGCTTATATATATATATATATATATATATATATATATATATATATATATATATATTTTTTTTTTTTATTTTGAGACAGGTTCTCACTAATTTGTTGAGGCTAGCCTTGAATTAGCAATCCTCCTTTCTCAGTCTCCCAAGTCTGGTAACAGGCAGGTGCCACTGCAGCTAGATTTTTTTTTTTAATCTACTCTGCCAATCTGCCTTTAAATTGGTATATTTAGCACATTGACATTTAAAGTAATCATTGTTGAGAGCCACAGCCGAAGGGGCCCCAGCAAACTTCCAGCTGCCAGCAAACTTCCAGCTGCCAGCTGATGATTGGCTCACAGCGGCCCCAGCAACATCTAGCTGATTGGCTCCTCTGCGGTGATGCTCATTGGGCTGTTTCCCTGCCCTTTCAGACCAGGAGCTGCTCATTGGGGGACTTTTTTGGCTCCGCCCACGTGACCCAGCCAATGGGCCTCAAGAGCAGGAGGATTGTGGGAGGTGGGGAGAAGCTTGTTTGGGAGAGAGAGGCTTGTGGAAAGCCGGTGGTGGCAGTTGAGGCTCTGAGGGTTTTTCCTGAGAGGCTGTTTTGTTTGGCGTGTGTGGTTCTAAAAATAAAGTTAGTTTCTTTTGACAAGTGGCTCCTGATTGTGCCCAGCCAGACTGCGGCAATCATTGATAAGTTGGGTTTAGGTCTGATGTTTTATTATTTGTTACTTTTGATTTTTATTCTTTTGATTTTCTTTTTTTAAAACCTGGAGAATGATAATAATAAAACAGGTAATATTTGTATATTAAAAGTTAGCTGGGCACTGTGGTGCATGCCTGTAATCCCAGATGCTTAGGAGGCTGAGGCAGGAGGATGGATCATGAGTTAAAAAGCCAGTCTCAGCAACTGTGAGATGATAAGCAACTCAGTGAGACCCTGTCTCTAAATAAAATACAAAATAGGGCTGGGGAATATGGCTCTGTGGTTGAGTGCCCCTGAGTTCAATCCCTAGTATCCAAAAAAAAAAAAAAAAAATTCCAGGAAAAGGGGCTGGGCTGTATGTAGCTCAGTGGTAAAGCTCCTGCCTCATACGTGTGAGGCACTGGGTTCCAGCCTCAGCACCATATAAAAATAAATAAAGATATTGTATCCACTACAACTAAAAAAAATATTTAGGAAAAAAAAATTCCAGTAAAAGAGGAAGAGAGAACAGGACTAAAAGCATATTCAGGAAAGTAAAATTTGAAAAGTCCCCAACCTTTTGGGTTGTTTGAATATTGTGATGGTTCTACCTTGTTCTATTTATAGTGTTTTTTAATATATTGCATTATATAATTTTTATATAATATATGTATATATAATTTTTTTACTCAATGCTTCTGTACATGGGTTAACTTAACTTATAATAATCTAGTGACACTATAACTTTACCACTCTGGTTGAAATGTAGAAACCTTACTTCTATTTAGTTCCTTTTACCCTCCTTACCTTTTATATGTAATTGTCTCAAGTATTTCTTCTGTGTACACAGAGTATAGTAATGCATGGGGTTACATTTTTATTTGACTCATGAAATATCACGAAGAACCTCAATAGAAATAGAATAGTATATTTACTGTAATAGAAATAGTATGGTAATAGAAATAGTATATAGTATAGTAATAGAAATAGAATAATATATTTACTGTTCTTTTTACTTATTTTGATGAGCTTCTTTCTTTTATATGATGTTCCAAGTCTTCTGTTTTTATTTCTGTTCAGTTTAGCTAATCTTTAAGGGTCAGTTTATTAGTAACAAATTAATTTTACTTTGTATGAAAATATCTTTATTTTCTCTTAATTTCCAAAAGACATTTTCATTAGATATGGAAGTCATTAATCAACACATTTTTTTTTTTTATCTTTTTGGTGCTTGAAAAATGTGCTACTTGCCTCTAGCCTCCATAGTTTGAGACAAGAGATCAGCTATCACTCAGATTGTTTCCTTCCAAGTAATGCATTTTTTTCCCATTCCTGTTGCTTTCAAGATTTTTTTCCTTTGTCTTTAGTTTTCAGAAACGTAATTACTTTGTGTCTTAGCATGGATTTGTTTGAGTTTTTCTGTTTGGGGTTCATTCAACTTGAATCTCTGCATTTGTATCTTTTGCCAAATTTGGAGGACTTTTCAGCCTGTTTTTTTCCTGAATACAGTTTTAGTTCTGTTCTCGCCTTCTTCTTTTTCTGGAATTTTTAATATATGACTTTTACCTCCAGCCCTTGAGACTCCCCCCGCCCCCACTTTTTCTTGCCTATGTTCTCTTTGTTGTTTTATAAATTCTAATTACCTGTCCTCAAGTTCAGTGATTGTATCCTCTGTCAACTCTACTAATATCAAACTCTTAAAGTGAGCTTGTCATTTCAGTTGTTTTATTTCCAGTTCTATATTTTCCATTTTGTTTTTTTAATAACTTGTATTTCTTTGTGGTGCTGAGGATCAAACTCAGGGCCTCTCATATGCGAGGCGAGCGCTGTACTGCTGAGCCACAACCCCAGCCCCTGTTCAAAGCTTTTTTATGGTTACTTTAATTTTTTTCATATAATTCCAACATTTGATACATCTTAATGTTGGCATCTGAGTTGTCTTTTCTCTTTCAAGTTGTGATTTTCCTGGATAGTTATATAACATAGTTTTTATTATGTCCTTGACATTTTGTATAATATATTGTGTCCTATTTATATCTACTTTTCTGTTTTTTGCTACTTGGGTTAAACTTAAGGGTACTTTACCACTGAGCTACATCACCAGCCCTTTTTTATTGTTTATTGTGAGACAGGGTCTCACTAAGTTGCTTAGGGCCTTGCTAAGTTGCTGAGGTGGGCTTTGAACTTGTAATTCTCCTTCCTCAGCCTCCCAAGCCTCTGGGATTACAGGTGTGCACCACTGCACCCAGTTTATATCTACTTTTTTTATTAGGTAGTCCCTTTGTTGAGATATAGTGCAAAGAATGGGTGTGCTTTTTGTTTAGCTTCTCACTGGACCTTATTCACACCACCTCAGCAGAAATGGAACACTGACTCACTTACAGTGTCTCAGTGCACATGGTCGATTTGGAAATTCAATACCTCCCTTAGCTCCACTGACTTATTCTCCATGAAAGTGATGTACTGCATCTGCATTTTAGCACTTCCTTGCCTCTTATTGGGGATGTAAACTCTGGGTCCTGGAGCCCCCAGATCAAGGGGAAGTAGACTGACTCATATTACATAATTGATATAGGGGGAATCAGAATTTCAGCTTCTTATTGCACCCCACTGACATAAGGGGAAGGAAGAAGAAGGATGCCAGTTACTCAGCCTCATACCACTTCATTCAACATCATCGATGCTGTGTTGGCATGGAGACTTGGCTCTTAGTGTGTACTGCTGACACAAGTCTCATGGAAGAAGGGACAGATTGCTGATTAGCTTGGCTTTGCCCTGCCTCTTTCAGTCTTGCTTTTGCCAGAGGGTGTGGAGGTCAAGCTCCCCCTAAGCTTTGCTGACCTCACAGGTGATAGAAATTGGAGCCCTTACTATCCTCAAGTTGTATAGCTTGTTTAGTCTTAATAAGGCCAGGTAGATGTAAAGGTTAGGTTCCCTACTATGTCCCACTGACACCAAAGCAAGTGGTAAAGTCTAATGGTGACTAATCCTACTCACTATGCCACATTAAAGTCTTATTGTTGCTGGGTGGGGATTTAGATTTATCTTGCTGTATTGGATCCCACCAAAAGTGGGTGGTGAATTGGGACTCTGTCTGCTTTTGCCAGACAGGGATTTGCCAGTTACCCTCTTACTGAGCCCAGCAGAGGAATCAGAGCATGACCTTGCATTTTTTCTCAGTGGATCAAAGATCTCAGCTGGATAATCAGCCTTTTTGATACCACTTGGCAGGGGAATTGGAGTTTGTCATGGTTCCACCTGGTATGGGTGGATACACATTCTTTCATGAATTCTACTCAATATAAGGAATGGGTTACTTTGACTAAGAGCTAAGGAGAAAGAGTCCAATTTCCCTGGCCACACCCACCCAGAAAGGAGCTTCATCTTGCTAAGCTGAATGAGGAAAGAGAGATCACATTGTGGTACAGACTTTCACTTTTCTTATTGTGATTTTGCATATTTATTAATAAACCTTTATCTTGCTATATCCCCTTAGGATAATTTCCAGAGATTTCAAATGGTTGTTGTTAAGTCATCCTTACCCTTTATGTTTTTTTGTTGGGGAGCAGGTATGAGAAACTTCTCACATGCTAACTGCTTCTCTAGACTTCTTGTGCTGTTTTTAAAATATGGTCATAAGTATGATAATACGGTCATTCTGCTTTCTTTCATTTATTTAGTTCAATAGTAACTCCAGTGATGACATATGGTCAGCTGGATGGTCTGATAAACAAGTGGAGTCTTGAGCTAGAGGATCAAGAAAAGTATTTTCTTCGTCAGGCCACTCAAGTCAATGCTTGGGACTGCACATTGATGGAGAATGCTGAGGAGGTAAGAAGATATTCTCATTAATCTACCTGCATTGTGCAAATATTTGCAGACGAACACAAGAGAATAGATTTATGTTTTGTGGTTAATTTTGTATTGCAATGTTGGCAAGCAGCTTAAAAATATTTTCCTTAGGTAATAAGTGCCCTGAAATAGGAAATGTTTTATATTTAAAGTGTATATGAGAAAGTTAATATTGCCCTGATGTTATTGAGTAAATTCAAATATTCTATTTTCTTCTTATTTCTCTTTAAAGATTTCTATTTTACATGGAGAAGTGGAAAAAGTGAAACTGGATCAGAAAAGGTAGAACCTTACATTTCTTTGGTTGAGGAACAAAAAACTATCTTTTTGTTCAGATTTTCCCCTTGTTGTAGTTTATTGATATTTATTTTGTTATTCTGAGTTCCTTTCATTGATTCTTCTATTGACTTGTTTTATTCAGATTGGAGCAAGAATTAGATTTTATCCTGTCACAGCAGAGGGAACTAGAAGATCTTTTGACTCCTTTAGAGAAGACTGTGAAGGACCAAAGTGAGTCTGTTTATCTGCAGCATGAAGATAAGGAGTATGAGAGGATGTAAGTAACTGAATAAAGGTTGAGGAATGGGGAAGAAGTTACCTACTATGAGAGTGTTCATAAAGCAGGGAAAAATTGAATCAGAAGGCAGAGATTAAGTATTAGTAGAAGAGGAGATGTTCTTACAGTTGACCTTTATCAAGTTGTTTGACTATTTTGTGGGTTTTTTTTTTTTTTTCAAAAGCTCGAAAATGAAGAAATTGTTTTGGCTATTTTGTTTTATAGTATTCTGTACACTGTTATTAATCTCAATCTAATGTATGCCCACTGTAAAGTTTATATTTGTCAAGTTTGTTCTTAAATTTAGAAATATAAATTTTATGGGTGTGGTGTCATAGTATTATAGAATATTTATGGTCTCCTATTATATTGACTCATCTAAACCTAATGTTCATGCAATTGCTTTAGTGATGAATTATTTGCTATTTTAAAGGCAAATTTGTTAAACTGGGGGTAAACTATATGAGTTTCAAAAATGGAATGATTTTTGTCAATGTCTCAGGGTAGGTATATTTACTGTACTATTTAGTCTTTACCTTCTGTCAGTTCATTGCCAGTGTTCCAGAGTAACTTTATCTCTGGAACTGAGATTTAGTAATCAGTCCAATTTAAAGAGTGTAAGGAGACTTTGAATGAATGTACTATACAATCTAAATTGATACTATTTTATTGATGGCTTATTAGTGAGTTAAGACTGAGGTGCTTTTGTTCAGGCTGGCCTTGAACTCCTGGGCTCAAGTGATCCTCCTGCATCAGCCTCTGAGTAGCTCAGATTATAGGTGCATGCTACTGCACCCAGCTAAGCTCATTTTTAAAAAGGCTTTCAAGTTAACTTTTTTTGTAGGGACATTAAATGTGGTAAGTACAGCTAATTTGTACTGACCCTAATTCTATTTCTTCTTTTGTATTTCAGCCTTTGTTGATCAATCCTTTCCCTCTCCCCCCCCCCCCGCCCATCTCCCTTTCCCTCCCTCCCTCCCTCCCTTCCTTCCTTCCTTCCTTCCTTCCTTCCTGTATTCTGTGTATTCTCTTTTTTTTAAAACAGTTACATTTTTATTCATAAGATCTTAACTGTACTTTGAAGAAATATTTGTAACATTAATTCCTAATTGCTCTTTTGTAGTCATATTTATATTGTGATAAAAATTTCACCATAATCCTCAACAATTTAGGCAATCTATAAGTACTTTCACACAGAAGGGCCAGATGGTTACCAGTAAATCTAATTGAGTCTTTAATTTTTAAAGACATTAAAGTGGAAAATTATCTGGCCACTTTAATTCTTGTAAACATTTATTGGCTAGGTTAAGTGTGGGTTTGTGTGTGTGGGTGTAGTAAATAATTTGGATGGAAATATTGATAATGTAGGCCACTAATCAATTTGTCTCGAACTTAGATTTATCTACCTTTTATAATTATAAAGTTTATTTCACAAAATAGCTTTTGTTGCCTGGTGGAATATATTTATATAAAGTTTTACCTTGGACATCTGTGTATTTATGACCATTGAAGAAATCTCAGCATTTGAAATTTGCTAAACACTAACTTGTTTTGGATATCTAAATGTCCTATAGATGTATTTTGTTATTAAAAAGAGTTCCTCTGAGACTGGGGATATAGCTCAGTGGTACAGCATTTGCCTAGCATGCATGAGGCTCTGGGTTCAAACCCCAGTACTGGAAAAAAAGGAAGAAAAAGAAAAAGAGTTCCTTTGCTCACCAGAGCATTAGCAAGATGGTACATAGGTGAAATTAAAATAATGGCAAGGCAGATAAAAGCTTTTACTTTTAAAATCTACATAAAATAGGATGGTGAACATTGTATCCATGAAAAATACGCCATTGGTCATAACCGATACCCACTGAGAAGGTAGGGAAATTGAGACAAATCCAGTTGACAGTATTATCTTTGTATGTAAATAACAGTAGATATGGGGACAACATTTCTTGTTAATTTATTTACCTGCCTTTGCAGTTATAAATTAGCAGAAACTATGGATGCTCAGCTGAAACGAATGTCCCAAGATCTCAAGGACATTACTGGTCACCTGAATACATTTGAAAATCCTGCTGCCACTACTGATCGGGTATGTTTTTTGCTTTATATATCTAGACAGTCAAAATGTAGTATGAAATTACCATTCTATGGATTTTTTTAGTTAGTCACTGTCTGTCCTCCATAACAGTGCTTGGGTTTGATTAGTGGGACAGGAGATATTTAGAAGCAGAGATGATTATGATTTTTTTGTGGTTATTCCTAGGAAGGTGAAAAAAAATTACTCTTTACTCTTGATATTTTTAGGGTTTTCTCCTTTGTATGCATAATTAAATATGTTTCCCTGTACTTACTTTTCTGTTCACTTATTTAGCATCTGGTTTATTCTTCTTTTTACATATGTATTTATGTTCTCATATAAATGTGAGTAGATTCAAGTCTCTTACACATTCAGGCAATCCTTAATTTATGAGTAGGTTATATCTTTAAAATCTGGTGAGTTAACTGTTGAGACTGAACATATATTTATTCATAGAAAATTTGATAAATGTGGTCATTAGGTTTCTACCTGCCCCATAAAATACTACTTAGCTCATGATGTAAATGTATTATATCATGTGAAAATAAAGCTGAGGCTTCAGTTAGAATAGACATGCTGTGAATTCATTAGATGTTAAGAAAGAAGTGTATTACTTGATTTTCTATATTTTCATTAAAGAGCTTATTTCCTCTGCTTTCCTTATTGTCTTAGAAGCTAAATAGAGTCCTCTTTTTCCTATTCTCACTCCTTGGCAGTAAGAGGAATCATATATTGTGGGAGTTCCTATTATATTTTCTATCAGTTAATTATAACTAGCAGTAGAGCCAAGGTCTGGGTAGATGAGAATGAATGACATATGTACAAGTAGTGATTATTCTTTAGTAAGTTCTTTGTCCAATTATATATATAGACCACTCTTAATCCACATATATATTACTAGCTTTTTTAATCATAAAGAGCATGTTATAGTTGAGAAAGCATTAGAATTTTGTTTAAGTCACTTAATCTCTCTAGGTCTGGGTTTCTTCTTTTGCAAAATGTCAAGGATAGAATAAATGATCTTTAAGTCCTTCTAGCTATGAAAATTATGCCATTCTCTACTCTAGGTGAATCTAAAGTTGAACAAAGACAAATATGAATTAGTCAGGAATTACCCATGCTGCCATCTCCCTATGTTCACACAAATGATCAAACATTATCAAAGTAGTTTTTGTTCTAATGAAATATTAGATCACCATTGTGATTCCAAAATTCAAAATTGTTTTGTTGTAATAGAATTTTGATGCATAGATAAATACATGTAGATTTAGACATGAAAAGCTAGTGTCTAGTCCCTCTGTTGATTTAATATGAGAAGAATGTTCTCAACAGAGCAAGTAAAAGGTTACTGTAATCTTATCTTCATCGTTTTTCTCTACTAAGCCCAATATTGCTTTATTTTATTCTAGTAATAGATAGTGAATCATTTGAGTCTTTTTGTTTTTGGTGTTCCTAGCAGAGGTGATTGGGATGTTTAGTATGAATGAGTTAAAGCTTAATTACTGCTTCAGGGCAGGACAAAAGAAGCAAGAGATCTTCAACAACTCATCCCTTTTTTTCCTTCCTGTTCATAAATCATCGGAGAGGAAGCAGAAAAAAACACTTCTGAACAATAATATTACTGAAAATAATTGATTGTATACATCAACAAAGCTTTGTTATAGTGGGCCACATATTAGGGTATAAAAATAGCAACTATTTTCCTATTCACAGTGAGGGAATTAACCTGTTTTTATTTCCCTTTTATTTGGCAGGGGTGGAAGGAAGGGGGTATGGTAGTAATGGGAGAGACCACCTAATATTTAATTAAAGTTTTTATTAAGCAAATCCATATTATTCTCTTATTCAGTTATATTTTCTCATAAAATCCATGAAGGAAATTAAATCACATATATTACCAGTAACCCGCTATTATATTGGTGTATTTCTTCTTAGTCACTTTGCTGTGCTGGTTCTTTTTTTGAAAACAACACTGGAAACATACCATATAGATTTTTGCTTTCTGTCTTTATTTAATATTGTTTCATGGTGTTTTCCCAAAGTTTTAATAGTTTTAGGATATTTTATCAGAGGAGAGTTTACCATAATATATTTAGTCATTTCTGAATTGGTATAGATATTTTTGCAATTTGGGGTCAATATAAAATAGCCCTGTACTGACCACTTATATTTAGATTTGATTATTTTCTCTGGCTACACTCCTGGAAATAGATACAATATGCTGATTCAAAAGGTATGATTATTTAAACTTTTGATATATGTTATAAAATTGTATATTTTAAAAGATTGAGCCAATTTACATTACTATTGGCTATATATTAATGTATGTATTTTTCCCACATATAAATTGAGCATTCCTAATGTGCAAATTTGAAATCTTAAATGCTTCAAAATCCAAAACTTTTGAGTGCTGACATGCCAACACAAGTGAAAAATTCCACACCTGACCTCATGGGATGGGTCACAATCAAAATAAATGCATAGCTGGACTGGGGATGTAGCTCAGTGTGCTTGCCTAGTGTGCATAACACCCTCAGTTTGATCTCTAGCAGTGCAAACAAACAAGCAAATAAAACACAGGCATAATAAATTATTGTGTAAAGTTATCTTTAGGCTACATGTATGAGGTATATATGAAACAATGATTTTAGACTTGGATCCATCTCCAAGATATCACATTGTATAATATGCAGAGCTTTCACAATTAAAAAAAAAAAAACCAAGTGCTTAAAACACTTAGGGCCCCAAACATTTTGGATAACAGATATTTAATCTGTACTTGGCAATTGAGTACACCATTTAAAAAATCCTGATTTGATTGATAAATGTTGCTTTTTAAATTTTTATATGAATTTATTTTCTTATGAAATGTCTCTTAATGTTCCTTATTTTTATGCTGTAGCAGTCACTTTCTTATTGAATTGTAGGAGTCTCATTCTTGACAGTTAAAAAAAGTAAATGCATTGTACTAATATGTAAAAGTAATGAACATTTTAAATATGAAATAGCAAAAGAAACAAAAATTCATTAATATTTAGTCTATTCTCAGTCCATGTCTTACCAGAAAAAATAAAAAACACTTCCTAATTTCAATTTACTTATTTTTTTGTTGACCACATCTGAATAATCATAATCTAAAAGTATTGGATGTATTTTTAGCTCCAGCAGATCTGCAAAATTCTGAATGCTCATCTGGACTCTCTGCAGTGGATTAATCAGAATTCAGGTGGGAGTTTATTCATATACCAGGTTCTATTTATGATAATGTGTTATAAGTCATGGCGTGTGCTCCATGACCATACTCACATAATAGCTCAGTTTTAGGGGTGTTGCTTAACTCATGCCTACTATTAGTTCTGAAGAATTATCTGGAAATTAATGAAAATACAAGGTGGACAGAAATGAGATGTAGGGTATTGGGATAGAATCAGAACTTCTCTGAAGTATACCTTTTGTTCAGTTTTTGATTTGGGAAGCATATAAGTATTTTATATACTAAAAATTATAATTAAGCCAAAATTAACTGGAAGAAAGACAAATACTAACATGGAATATACATTAAAAATAAACAAAGGTACGTAACTGTAACAATCACTCAATTCAGATAACTTTTGAACATAGTATTCTTGGTAGTGTATTCTTAATATGATGTTACCTGAAAAGAACTGCAGAGAAATCTTAAACTTTCTTAATGGAGCTAGGCACGGTGGTGTATGCCTGTAATCCCAGTGACTGGGGAACGTGAGGCAGGAGGATTGCAAGTTGAAGGCCAACTTCAGCAATTTAGTAAGGCTCTAAGCAACTTAGCAAGACCTTGTCTCAAAAATAAATAAATGAAAAGGACTGGGAATATAGCTTAGTGGTAAAGCACCACTGGATTCAATCTACAGTATCGTAAACAAACAAAAAACAAAACAAAAGAAACCTTTCTTAATAGATTTATTGTTATAAAATTATGATACCAATGTTGCTACCATTTTATGTATATGGTAGAATAAAGCAAGTGTGTGTGTGTGTGTGTGTATAACTGATAATAAAAATTAGTGTCTTCATTAAAATATAAAAGAGATACTAGTATTTTTCTTTCCTTTTACATTTGTATTATAAATTTGAATTGTAAATATTCTTATTCCTTTGTTCTATATACAGACAGGGCCTAGAAGCAATGAAAGACACCGTAGTAACGGGCATACCCAGTACCTAGCTCTTGATTTCTAAATACCATTCCCACTAAAAGGAATCAATCTTTTTGGTTAACTATCTGATCTCAGGTCTCAGGCAAGGAAAGTACAGGGTGAGTTTCAGACTTTTTGTTCAAGAAAGCAAACATTGTTAAATGACTAATGAGGTTATATCAGGATACAAGATTGTACTTCAAGGGATTCCTGCTGACACATTAGTATATTTAAACATGAAAAAGAATAACAAAAGTAATAGATTATAATATGTTAAAGGAGGAAAAAAAAACCATGAGTTCCCAATGATAATCCAAAAAGAGAGAGAGAAATAAGAAGGAGAATGTCTTTATAAAAGTATGCCAACTAATAATTATAGAATAAATGATAGAATTCAGAAACCATAATTAAATCAGCAGAACACTTTTATTTTATTAAGTTCATCTTGATCTTGAATATCCTGTTTCATGTATAAAATATTTCAACTGTCAGTCATTTCTTGGCAGAAAAGTAGGCTAGCAGGAAGTGGACCACATACAGACTGCAAGTTACTGAGTTAATTTAAAAAAAGTTTTATTGATGCATAATTTATTCCATAAAACTCAGCATTTTAGTTGTACAATTTAGTGAGGAAAAAAATCACCACTTTGCAGCACAATCATAGCAGTTGATTTAGTCAAGGATCATCAATGGATGCTAAAACTATTGAATTCAAGATTGTTGGAGAATAGCATATGTATGTCTACTCAAAAATATCACTCTACAGGTTACTTAAAAATTACAAAATAAAATATATGCCTTTACAAGACCTTTGTGACATGTGCCACTTTAGTGAAGTGATCAAACTTGGCCTAACCAGTGGTGGGATAACTTGACATAATGTGCCTCTTGACTTGACATGATAAGAAGTATACAATATCACATATATAGGATTCTTACCAAAATGTTTAACCTTAATCTAATGCAAGAAAAAAAAATCAGACATTCTGTGTGTGATACATTAAAAATATAATTGGCTTGGACTCTTTAAAATTCAAAACAAAAAATTAAGGGGATGGTCTTAGATTAAACAGGCATAGGACTAGGGATATGGCTCAGTGGTAGAACACTTGCCTAATACATAGAAGGCCCTGGGTTTGATCCCAAGCACTGCCAGAGAGGGACAGACAGAGACATAGATATAACAATCAAGTATACCATGTTAACCTATATGGACTATATATTGTATGATATTAAGGAATTGCTTATTTTCCTAGGTGTGATAGTTATGAATATGTAGGAAAATAACTTTTTTCTTCTTAGAAAATGCAGGCTACTTTATTTAGAGAATTTTCATGTCTGTAGTGTACTTCCAAATTGTTCAACCGAAACCATGTGTGAAGAGAAAGACATTTAGCAATTTGTGGCAAGATGGTATGAGCAGGTTAATCTTGGTAAAAGGTATTTAAGTGTGTGATTTTTGTTATTCTTTCAACTTTCCTACAAATTTAAAATCAAAATTTGGGGAGGTCATTTTTTAAAGACTTTGCCTAAATATAGAATATAATGAGGAATATGGAATATGATGGTAGGAATTGAGGTAAATGGGAACTAGTTAAACAATCAGAGTTATTATTTTCAAGATGTGGCCTTAAAATAATACTATTTTTCTTACTTGGAATTCTGGATTCCTCATTCTCTGCATGAATGGAAGTCAGCAACAATGAACTTCTTCAGCTTTTTTTCCCTTCCAGACATACTTACATCATTATTCATCTTTATGTCCTTCTCTCCTGTGTTAGAGAAATATATGTCTTATCCCTTTCTAAACTATTTAGAATCATCAGAGGGAAGTTAAATAGTGTTAATATTCATTTGTGACCTGGTGAGGTTTCTGAGTCAGGTATAGGATTCAAGTCAAGGAATTAACTCTTCATAGTTGTGCACTTATTTTTCACTTGGTCTCTATGAGTCTGTACCCTTGTTTTTAAAATGACAACTAATATCTACCTTTTAGATGTTTTGTAAGGATTAAAAGAAGAACCTTTGAATCTTGGCCTGTGGGTTGGTAGTCAGTGAATGGTAGTGGTAGAACTGGTTACTGGTTATCCAAATTTACTATGTATATGAGGTGGGGGAGACAGAAAAGAAAGGTTGTGGGGTTCAAAAAGTAGCTGTTAAATTGGGTCTTGAGAAGATAGTTCCAGATAGACTATCATTAAAAATCACTTACCTAGAGAAGTTGTAAGAACAACTGTGATGTGGGGAAATGTCAATAACAGGAAAACAATAAGGAATGAAATTATACAAAATTTCCCTGTCTGTTACATGCTTTTCTCCATTGAACAATGATTCTTGGGTAGAGTTGAGGGGGATGTCAGAAGGCAATTTGGATTATACAGAAAAATTGCAGTGATTATTTTTTTTCTCTTGGCAGGGATCCTCTGTGTCATAAACGAAATCTCAAGGCTTTCAGCCAGTGTCTCCTTTATAAAATTAAGGTTGTTGGTATTGCAAGGGACTTATACTTTATATAAATGAAGATATTATGGCTCAGAGAAGTTGAATGGCTTCCTTAAGAACACACAGCAGGGGGCTGGGGTTGTGGCTCAGTGGTAGAGTGCTTTCCTAGCACATGTGAGGCACTGGGTTTGATCCTCAGCACTGCAAAATAAGTAAATAAGTATAAATAACACTCCAATGTAGGCATTACTTGATACAAAAACAAAAACAAATCTTATTTGTGTACCTATCAGTAGAGGACAAAGGTTTTAAAAGTTTGATAGTACTTTGGGATATGAGTTTTGGGTATCTGGGTAAAATTCTCAGTCAAAACAGGTAATAAGAATAAGACAATGGAAAGTAATTGATTACTGGGATTTGTTTTTCGGCTAAAAATTCATTTGAGCTGAAGAGGCAACAAGAGTTTGTGTGGGTTCTTTACTGAGACAAGGAAGGTCATGCTGAAGAATGGGAAAAGGCCTGGTAATTCTTTTTTTTTTGTTTTGGGTGGTGCTATAGATTGAACCCAGAGACATTTTTACCACTAAGCTACATACCCAGCCCCCCCCCCCCTTTTTTTTTAATTTTGAGACAGGTCTCCTTAAATGGCTCCGGCTGGCCTTGAACTTGTGATCTGCCTACCTCAGTCTCCTGAGTCCCTGGGATTATAGGGGTGTGTCACCATGCCAGGCAGCCTGGTAATTCTTGATACTGTATACTTTTTGTCATTCCCACTCAATGAGCCTTTCCTTTTCATATCAGGAAACTACATGATCAGAAATGGAGCATGGCAGGGTTTAATTATACTAAGAGAGGTTTTTCTAGTTATTTTGTTTTGTTTTTTAATAGTTAATTGGATCATGTCTGTTGAAAGGGTCTATAGTCTGAAACTTTTAAGATCAGATAAATCAATTTATTCACGTTGAGATAATATAGAAAAACGAATGAATGTGTTATTTTGGCAATACATGCATATTTTGCTAAAGAGAAATCTTGTATATAAAGTCAAATCTTCATTTTAAAAGGTTTCTGGGAAATGTTTTTATGATTTAATATCTTTAATGTTGGCACAGATTTTTCATCATGAAACATCAACTGTTACACTAATAGAATTATATATTTAACTGAGAAATCACCTCTTTAAAAGTGATTTTGATGTACATTACTAAGTGAAAGAAGCTAATGCCAAAAGGCTATATGCTGAATGAGTCCAGCTCTGACATTCTGGAAAAAACAAAACTGTAGAAATATAAATTTGTATAAAGATCAATGGGGGTGGGGGAAGAATAGACAGAACATGGGAGATTTTTAGAACAGTGAAAATATTTTGTATGATGTACTCTTATCAAATCATGGATGCATGTCATTATACATTTGCCAAAGCCTACAGAATATTAACGCCAAAAGTGAACATTAGTGTAAACTATGGACTTTGGGTAATAATGATTTGTTGATGTAGGTTTATCAATTGTAACAAATGTACCACTCTGATGTAGGATATTGTTAGTAGGGGAGGTTGTACGTTTGTGGGGGCAAGGAGTATATGGAAAATCTCTGTACCTTCTGCTCA